TATTGAGACAAGCCCGGGCATATCTGAGAGCAAGAACGGCTCAGCACAGTCATCTGTAAGGTATGCAAGAAAATTGTTCTTGCTAAATGTGGAAACAACAAACTTGTTTCACCACTTGAGACAAAAAAGCAGGCTACGAAGTATGAGATGCTAGCAGCTGATTATGTGCTACTCACGTCTAAGCAAATGACTCCATACTATAGATACCAATGCTAGTATTGGTACTGAACTGATACCAGAAAGATAGGATCAATACTTTGCTTCTGTCCTCTAAGTTGAGTATGCAAATAACAGTGTTAATTCTTTTTAAATTAAAACTTAGAACTCAAGTATGCACTATGACAAATGTCTGCCCCTTTTTGCTCTTTCATACCAATGCTGACTAGAATTGTGCCACATCATTTAATCCACAATGATCACGGTATCAATTTTGATATGAATTAAAAGATATATAGAGTGTCTCAGGCTCCAGTGATGATTTAGTACCTAAAAAGGAGCTACTGCAATAACCCCCAACAAAGCATAGTACTCTGCAAAATGTGCAAGAAAATTGTTCCCACTAAAAAAACAAATTAGTTTCACGAAAAGTAGGAGAGGCTAGCAGCTAATTGTGCTAATGCGTGACTTTGATGTAAACAAATGACTCTGCTGAGTGTAAGAGGTGGGCAGATTAATCCAGATATTGACAGTATTGCTACCAGTAATAGTACTGCTAACAAACGGTAGATGGAAATTACAGATGTGGTTACATAGTGGAAGAGCAGGGCTTTAAGCAGATGGTGAAAAAGTTTGAACCAAGATAAAAACCTTTTAGATAGAAAATGTTCTGTGATAATATTATGCAGCTCCTTATGAGTCACAAAGCTACATCACTTTAGTTATTGTTAAACTATGTGCTCAGCAATTATTATTTATACTTTTACTTAAAATATCCAGGAAAAACACAACACTGGTATTTCATTAAAGCTGAGTGACTGTTATTGCGCTATATGCTGCTGTTGCATTATTGTTATAGTATAGTCACACCTCGAATTAGGTTATCCGTGACAGCAGCTCACTGATTAAGGATGGAAAATTTACATTTAATGTGATTGCCTGCAAGCTGCAAGCATCACATTTTCTAGATGTCCTGTGATTTAATTCTGAGATCCTTTCTCCCACCCCTAATGCTGACACAGATTGGCTACAGGCAGTTTTAAAACAAAAAAGATGGGCTTTTTTCTGAAAGCTCAAAATGCAGGATTTTGACACTAATAAAAAAAACTGTACACAAAAAGTTTTGCTTTAATTCAAACAAACAAATGCACTTTTGCTGTGTTATCACATAAGAGCTGTGATATAAAAGAAGTTTGATTTATTGATACCCCCTTTCCTCTCAAACCCCTTATCACTACTACACTAATCAATAATAGATGTACCTATGTGTCATTATTTATAGCTAAAGTACGCCTTTCATTAATATTAATACAGTCTTTATTGGGTAACAGTTATTGATGATCAGTTATACAGATTATAAAACAAAGTGGTTAAAAACAACCACACATGGAGCTTTTCAGTTATTCATAAATCTACAGAATTACATGCATGGTGTGCATAATGTTAATGCTGTTCTCTGTTCATATGGAGAGGCCTCATCAGTGGCACACTGCTGAACCCACCCACCCTGGCCAGTAGACCAAAGTTCAGCTTTTATGTAAGAACATCCATTACATAAGACTGCAGAGTCTGAGCAGCTCACAAATAATTAATGGCTAGAGGTTGACTGAACACTTTTTTGCATCACTCCTCAGACTCAGTCTGAAAAAACAAAACAAAACTGGAACTTCATCTTTATACTTCAAGGTCACTACTAAAGGTTATTTTTTATAAGATATAGCTGTTTAATTCTAAATTTGTCACATCTGTGAAAATACTTTGACTCTTATTGTCATAAACTTAAGGATGTCTGAGCACTCTAGTACTGCAGAATCAAGCCAAAGAATTCACTTCTACTTTAATCTACATACAGAAATTCTGCATATGAACATTCACAACCTGTAAGCAAATAGCAACATTTTTGGAAACCAAAGCTTTCTTGGTTCTTTTTATAGTCAGAGTACTACAGAGCAGCTGAGCTGGCACTGGTCACATGTACGTTAAAATCCATGTGGATAACAACAGAAGGGAAACCTTCCCCCGAAAAGCCACCTCAAAACTATCAGCAATTTTATTTGTTTTGTTTTAAATGCTTTTGAAACATGGCCAGCGTAGCCTAGATATTGTAACCACACTCTGGAACGCCCTGAAATGCTGCCAGTTGTTTCCAGAAGACAACCAGACAATAAGATTCCACATTGATCCAGCTTAAACGAGTTAGATGTCATGCACCAGTGCAACAGTGTTGCAAATTAAGTGACGCTTGCAAATGTTTCTCTCATTGGCACAAAAAAAAAAGTTACACATAAATCTTTATCATTAAGTTGGAAACAAGCTTGATATTGATGACTCTTCTTTAAAAAGGGGGCCACTGGCTGTAGATTACAGATGTGATCTTGTAATCTGCAAGGGACTGTCTGCTTTTATATCTTTAATTCAACAGTGATGTTAAAAAAGGCTTGGACCCCAGAAACCCTATAACATTTGTAGCTTTTGATAAACTTTATTGTAATTTAATTTAATCTAATTTATTGGCTTGTATTTATTTAAATTGTGTTTTCATAATAATTTAATTTAATTATATATTAATTTTATATTATATACTATTGCTAAAATATTTTTAAAAATGTATTTCAAATAAATGTTTTTGAAACTTATCAAATCTTTGTAATTGTTCTTGACTACATCACAGAAACATGTAAGGAAGCAAAAAAAAAAAGGAAGCAGAAAAGTGTATAAAAACAAAATTTGTCCCACTGCACAAACTTCTCACCACGACTGCAGACCACGTGAAGGCCATAAGCTGTATTGCTCTAGCTAATTATTTACAGCACAGATGGAAAAAAAAGTTCTATTTTCCAAAATATCACACTACTCATTAAACGCTGATTTCAGTAACACAGAGAATCTATTAGCCAACATAAACCTTACCTGCGACAGAGATGATAAAGGAAGCATCCATGGCATCAATGTCCAGGGTTCTGGCTCGGGCAGACAGGTGGAAATAGGGAATAAAGTAGGCAAGCTGACTGAAGACCAAAGACCAAGTGTATATGCAAAAGAAAGGGTCCTTCAGCAAAGAGAAATCCAGTACTTTGGCTTTTGTGACAGTCACCTCACTTGGCGAGCTTGCATGTGAGGAAAATCCAACAATCGTGGACCCATTCATACTGCCATTGAGCTCCGCTGAGCAATCTGGAGTTGTGGGTTTACACTGACCCAGGTCATGATGGGGCTCATGGCCATTTACTCCATTCAGGACCAGTCTGGTCAGTTCAGGGTTCACTGACTGGTCCTGGAGTCCCTGAGTACATTGCCCCCCCACATTCACGGTGTCCCTATGAGAGGGAGGAGGGGATTGAAGACAGTCTGATTTGGAGACGCCATTGGAAACGTGAGTGGACCCATTCAAACAGTTCTTGGAGTACTCCTTCTCCGAGGAGCTCTTGAGAGAAACAGCAGGACTCTTTTGGATGTCAGAGGAGGTAGGGTTTGAAACAGGTGGCTTTACATTGATGGGTCGCAGCAGCATGCCAGAGGCCACCAGATTCAGCATGAGACCACTGAGAATCAACATGGCTCCTAAACATGACAGTGAGAGTTTAGGATCTAAAATATCACTTTTAGATCACTCCATGGCCTGTATTTCTACACTTAGGCACAAAATTTCTCCTTCTTACCTTGCCAAGCATACCGGTCCAGAAGGAGCTGAGTGAAGGGAGCGAGAGCAAAGGTCAAACCCATACCAGAGCGTCCAATAGCATATGCCGTTGCTAACCTTTTTCTGAAGTACAGTGCTGTGACCACTGAGAAGGACTGATACAGTAGTGCAAACCCCATTCCTGAGAGGAGCAAACAAGGTTATTATCCGACATTGCGTCAGTCACAGGGACACACAGGTTGGTTTTCCGAATTAATAACACGACACAGAAGTCGTCTGGTTACTAGAGTTCGTGTGGAAACAGCAACATTAAGGTACTTTACTGTTTAGCAATTAGTTAAACTCACCAACTATCACGCCCATGCTGATGTAGAGGAATACCACGCTGTTGGCGAATATACTCAACAGGAAGCCTCCGCTAACCAGCACTGCACCGGTGATCGAGGTCACTCTGGCTCCCACCTTGGCACATGCCACAGAGGCGAGGGGCGCTACAGAAGTGAGAGGAGGAGAAACACAACGGCAAAAAGCTAAATGCAGGCATACAGACCAGAAAAGGCTATTAAATACATTTTGTGAAGGAGAGACAGTAAGTCACAAGAAAATAAAACTGTGGAAAATGACGATTTAAAGAGGTGACGCAATAGAAGGAAAATATTTTTTTTCAGTTCGAACCTCCAGACAGACGCAGACTTGACATGATGGAACCGATCCAGCTGATACTTTCTGCTGAGCCACCAAACTCATCTTGGAACGCCACAAAGAAGATCCCAAAGCTCTTTAGGGTGCCCATAACGAGGACATTTACCTGCACAGACACAAATGAGAATATACAGATAAGGACAGATATATTTTCTCTGAGAGAAACTTTCCAGTTAATTATATATAAATAAATGGTTCAGTGGGGAAAAAAAGGAGATTATAGAGAACAGAGGTACGCATACCAGGAAGCAATGTAGCACGACCATCCAGCCCCAGCCTCCATCTGGAGGGTCCTCATACTGGATCTCTTTCTCTTTGTCCTTCTTCGAGGTCATGGCATCCTTCCTGAACAGGTTCATTATGGCCCTGGTTTCACTTGGAGAAGAAAGATAAAATCAATCACCTCAAAGCTGCAGAAAAAGGATATTATATCAGAAATTATTTTCAGCATAAGACCAAGAAGCCTTTCAGAGTTTTTTCAAGTAAAGACAAACAGACTTGAAACAATAGAACAACAATGTTCTAAATAAAACCGTGACTTTCTGCTTTTTGATTTAACTTTACAGAAACCCACAAGACAAAACATTAAATCATTTTGAATCAATAAAAGTAAAGTCTGATATTATATATGATACTGACATAAAACATCCATCCATTTCCTTCTGCTTATCCAATTCAGCGTATTGGGAGGGATGGAGCCCATCCCAGGTACCACAGGGTGAGAGGTGTGGTACACCCAGGACAGGTCACCAGTCTGTCACAGGGCTAACATAGAGAGACAGACAACCATTCACACTCACATTCACACTTATGGGCAATTTCACATTTAGAATTACCATTTAACATAACCCCACTAACTGCATGTCTTTGGACTGTGGGAGGAAACGGGAGTACACAGAGAGAACCCACACAGACAGATATATATTCAAGAGTAATGCTCTATTACTTTTTCATTTCATTGAGCTGTGAAGTGGGGTGATCTCAGTACTACTAGACCTGGTAACATCTCTTTTGCACCCTATTCAGCTATTGGACTGGAGATAATGCTAACACTACTGAGATATTGTCTCTAGCAATGTGTAATGTGTAAGTGTTGATTATTGACTGTAGCATCGTCTAAGTCCCTGTTAGAACTAACACTGTATCCTGTGTGTACCCTGGTAGATGATTTCTTGTCTTTGTTATGTAATAAAAAAAATGTTTCATGGTTGGGCAGCTAAAAGAGAAGTAGTTGTCTTAAACCTGCAGCAAAGTAAACCTACAGCTGCAAAGCAACATTTCAACAATTTTAAACTGCTCATTCTAAAGCAGGGGTCTCAAACTTGGCCCGGGGGCCACTTGTGGACCACATCACCCCTACTTGCGGCCCGTATATTGACCTGAAGAAAGATAATGCAATTTGGCTTTTTTGTTGGGGAGGATTTGTTTGTTGTCGAGTGCACTGTTAAAATAAGTTCTTTAAAAAGCAAAAAATGATTTAATATAAAGGCAATATGAGCAGAGAGTACAAACATGTGAGGGATTGGCTAGGTTAGCTCAGTGAGAGAGTTATTTGTTAGAAAAAACATTTGTCACTAACAGTCAAAACCTGATGTGTACACTTATGTCTGCATTTTTATTTTGTTAAATATGAACAAAATGATAGCAGAGGTGCTGCCACGTGTCTGGCCAATTTGTTTATTTGGTAGTTCAATAATAATAATATTCATTTACTTAAGAGTGAGAAAAATATTTGCATTTATATTTGCAGTTATGTCGTGTTATACAATATTTGAAATTAAAAAACAAACAAACACAACACTACATTTTCAGAAATATTTGTGGGTGTTTTCTTGTTTGCTTGGTTGGGTTTTTTTTTTTTTTTTGGTACTACTTAGACACTAAAGTGGTCCTCCAATGAGATGTCAGTGCCAGCAGCGGCCACAGCTCATTTAAGTATAAAAAGTATACGCGACTTGCTCAAACTTTTCGTTTTTGGCTTGTAGCTTAAACAGAACTGACTTTTCTTCCCTGTTTGAATTCAAAGTGATGCACATGATAACCTGGTAATTAAGTAGAAATGTAAAACAGAAATGCAGCATTGATAAAAAAGTTTTTCATTTACTATTATCCCATGGTGATTCTGACCATTACCAGTCATGTGGAATAATGCTGTGTATCATGTTCTGCAACTGTCTCCTGCATGTAAAGATGCTGCTGCGTGTACAGTATGCACACGGCCTGTTGATGGTCTGCACTTTTCAACAGCAAATTTAGGAAGACAACTGTTAGCGAGCAATGGTTTTTATTAGAATCCAGTATAGGGGAACAAAAGCATTCCAAACAGATCTATGAATCCAAGAATACGCACAAGAGTTTGTGGGATTAGGAATAAATTTAAAGCTAAATCTCTCCTCCAGAGCGTATCTTAAAATAAAATGAACTTATACTAGTAGTGATGTCCTCACTGGCCGATACCAGAAGAGGTGAAAGAGGATAATAATGGATTACTGAGTGGTTTAATAATGAAACGATTTTTAACGTATTGTGCTACACCCATTGCGTGTGTGTGTCTATGTGGTCTATGTGTAACTAAACAAGTTAAGACTTAAGCTGTAAGACTTTGGCTTATTTCAAATGAACCCATGCCTTTGTTGTTAACAGATTCAGAAATGACTTGCTCTTTTGTGAGCCAGCTTCTCTGCAGTTTGACTCCCAACGGGCAACATGTGACCTTGAAATACTTCGGGCCCTTGTTGGAACACGTTTTCAAATACGCTGACTTGTATTAGCAAAGATATATTTGTATAATTACCCTTATTCAAAAATACAAGACAAAAAAATTCATCCATGGAGGCGAAAAAAGGCAGAAGCAATTTTAGGTGAAAAGGTAACAGTTAGATAGAGTTAAGTTTAAATAAACCAAATGAAAACTTTCTCAAAATAAGGAATAATGACAAACTGAGTCAGCAGCTGAATGCAGGCTGTGCCCAGGTCAGCGATAAAACACAAGGGCAAACAGCAGCACAGATTAATGCATCTCAACAACAATGCAGACAGCAGTAAACAAACTCAGCTGTAAGTTTAGAAACTCGTTTAAAGTTAAGCATCTGTGTTGAGATCCAAGACACAGAAGGATGTGCATTTTAGCTTTCGTAGTGATGGTTTATCCTTAACATCCTGTTTTACCTGTAACTGTTGTTTTACTGTGACAGCTTCCTCTCCAAACTGCGCTCTGGACACTCCTTGACTGATAAACTTCATATCTTTACAGTTGCCATCTCCACCCATAGATCCAATCATAGCTTTGACAGTCACACATGTTATTTAGCAACCAAACAATAAAAGCGCTTAGGTACCCACCAAAATGTTTCTTCTGTTTTTCTTCTGCCACGGAATAATATGGCAGCAGCTGGAGCTGACTGGGGCCAGTCCCTTGATTGCTTTTACAAAGTTTCATGTCTGGGCCTTGGGCACTCTAGCACCACTAATGGACTGAAGTTGGATTTGCGCCTAACTTCTGAACGATATGCCCAATTTTCAAACAAGAGTTGCGGTGATCTCTTGGATCAGCCTGGATTCAAAGCAATCCATGATGCCATTCAACATGTTTTACATGTTTGTTCAAAAGCTCCTTTATTTTTTGCAGTCCTTACCATAATCGGCAAAGCTATCCTTTACACGAAGACCTTTTAGACCTCGCCAAATGTATCATATGGCGTGTTCATTTTTAAAAGCTTTGAATCATCACAGCCAATGGAAACGTGCAGCGAGGTGCCAAACAACTACCTCATAAGTTGGCAAAGACATGCATTTAGGATCTTACTGAAGGGTTAAATCACAATTTACCTCATCTTCAGACAAGCCTTATGAAAGTTATCATAATAACTGTGTGTTACAATAAATCAATATTCATTCGTTAACATAACTGTTATTATATCTCAGCAACCGTTGCAAGTTTTACACTATAAAGCCCCCTGTCCATTGTGATTTTAGCAGAATACATGACCGTAAATGATCCCAATAAAATACTAACGCGTCCCTGCTCAGTGTTTGACAGTCAGTTACATAAGATTGCCTCGTATTTGTGACCAGCCAATCGGTTCTGCAGTATCTGCAGAATAAAGGATTGTGACTTTAAATATTAATCGTAAGTTCTGCAGAAAGAGACAATATGTGTATAAGAAGACGGTACTTCAAGAAACGAGCAGAGCTGTAAAAAAGAAATCTGCAAAAAAAAAAAAAAAAAAAACACGGCAAACTCCAAGTTTACCAAAGTATTAGCTGTAACTGCCTATCCTGTGCCGGTACTGGACAGTCTAACACAGGGCAGAACTGTCTTTCACGTAGCTCTGAAAAAGAGGATGTGAAAGCAGGATTCCAGTGTGCAATGTAAAGACAATATTTGAACAGAGCTATCCCTAAAGTCTAAACAATGCAACTCTAAAGTGATTCCATCCTGACCACATATGGTTTTTGGCTCAGGCTAACAAGGCAGCTGCACCGGCTGGACAGAAGCCAAAGTCATTGCTCCTCAACACTGCCACTGTTGCCTGATGCATCCCATACATTCTTAATGAGCATTTCTCACACTGCAGTAAAGAGCTGATGTTGAGTGGTGACTTCAGACAGATAGGGCACAGCACATGCAGCTGACTCGCCAATAACCTTACTTTTTTTTTTTTTTAAAGCTGTTCAGATGATTCGTTTGCTAGTGAGTAACCAAGTTACTGATGTTTCTATGATAACTACAATATGATGAATTCTAATATGAATTATATTGTATTGACACAGATGTTCCATCAACTTTTGTCATGTAGCAGGTAATCCTAAATTACATAAGAACATACTTAACATACTTCATACATACTTAAGAAAATGGATGGATGGATGTAGCAGCTGAGTCAAAGGTGACCTAACACTCATATTTCAAGTTTCCAAGAAATCATCTACCAGGTACACACAGGATACAAGTGTTATTGTGGGAGTCAAGTATCCACCAAGCTTCTTTGTGATCTTCTTCTTTAACCAGGCCCCATTTCCAGCATCCTGTGACTGATATATCCGCTATCTCTGCTCGACACATGTCCAAACCATTTCAGCCTTGCTTCTCTAACTTTGTCTCCAAACTGAGCTGTCCCTCTGACACACTCATGTTTACCCTGTCCATTCTAGTCACTTCTGCAAAAAAATCTTGATATTCGCCTCCAGCCACTCTACCCTGCCTGTGCTCTCTTCTGAACTGTCTATTGTTTTGGATGGTTGAACCCAGGTATTTAAAGGTATCTACCCTCACTATCCCCACTCCTTGCAGTTTTCCTGTTACACCCTTCTCTCTCAGTCACACACAGCTGTTTTGCTTCTACTGACCTTCATTCCTCTTCTCTCCATT